AAAGCAACAAGCGCGAACAGCAGTAAGGAGTGGAGAATACAAGCCTCACTGACCAGTTTGTGTAGAGCGTGGTGATAGTCTGCTCCCCACAGGAGTCCAGCGGCTGCGTCTGCTGCAGGAGGGCGTTGCGGATGACCCTGGAAGCATCTGTGCCCAAAAGCTGGGCCAGCGATTGCACGAAGTTGACGTACGCCTTGACGCCCGTCAGGAGCTCGGAAGGCCGCGCGATCTCCTGGGTGGTGGCACTGTAGCCAGCCAGCCACACGATGGCTCTGGGCAGGAGAAGGCACAGCGTCAGTCCTGACGGTGAGCACGGGGACAGTGGTCGCGTTCACCACCACCCCGTTTGCACCCCACAGCGAGCCCCGAGGCAGGTACGATGTTGCCCCCCGCTGTATGGATGAGCACTCGGAGCAGAGAGACTCGGCTCGCTGTGTGTGCAGCTGTCGAGTGGCAGAGGCCAGACGGGGTCTAGCAACAGCTGCTTCTGAGCACGAGGCTCTGCTGACTCCTCTGGAGAAGCGGGTCAAGCGGCAGGAACCCCGGGCTCCGGTGGCACCTAAGCCGAGGGCTGCCCCCGGTGCCCAGGCCAGCATGTGCCTCTTCCGCTGGGGGAGAGTTAGCTCGCGTGGCTGGCGGGGGTGGAGAGCATCCCTAGGGGTCCCTGGCTGCGGATGCCAGGCTGGGGGGAGCAGCCGGCTGGACGCGCTCAGAGAAGCACAATACCCGTGCATCCCGCACCCCAGGGGCACAGACGGGACACCCCCCTCCACTCCTCCAGCTCCTTCCAAAATGCCTTCCCCGGGGCCTCCCTGTTGGCGCAGGGGTTAAAGTCTCAGCGCCAGGAAGCTGTCACCAGCCACAGTTCCTCTGAGTTCCATCCCCGGCCAGGGAGGGAACCCCAGGGCGCAGCAGACCTCTCCCGTCTCCCCGCTGCTCCCCTCAGCAGTGTATTTCAGTGGATCTGCCTGTTCTGCTCCCCACTCTGTCTCTGGGGAATCCTCTCACCATCCCTGCACCTCTGGCCTGCACCCCAGTTCTGTGTGCACAAATAAGTAAATCTTTAAAAAAGAAAAGAGAAGAGGCACCACTTGAGCGAGGGAGAAGAATCCAGGAGAGACCGGGACGCGCCTCATCCAGCTTAGAGGTCTCCCTCAGGCCACAGCTCCAGACCAGACCGGGGCTATCGGAACAATGTCAGTGAAGAATGTTCCAGACCTACCCAGGGAGGGCGGAGCGATCACACCCACCCTGCTCCAAGAACAAGCCACCGGCAGCCTCTGAAGCTTTGCACAGAGACGGTTACCAAACCGTTTCTCCTTGACACTGTGAGCGCCTGAGACCCTTCCCGCCGTGTAGCCAACGTGTATGGAATCAGAACAGACTCATTTTACTGTTAAGTAAACTGAGAAATAAATCTCATCTCCGACAATCCTGCCCCGCGCGGCCAGGTGACCCCACCGGATGCCCCTGCCCTGCTCAAGCCCGCCACAGCCCCCAGCTCGCTCAGGAAGCAGAAGCCCCACCCGGGAGCACCCTCACAAGCTGCACCCCCGGCGGCCCGCCTCACGGCCTGCCAGCCCCCAGGCCCGCTCTGTCCCGATCCCCACGTCCCAGTCAGGCGCCCACCGCGGAGCCCCGTGGCTCTTTCCCTGGACGGCCACACCCGTGGCTTCCTCGCGTCTTCAGGCACCGACTGGGCCCGGCAGGCCCGCGGCGGCCTAGGAAACTGCCCGACGCCCTCGCTATTCCCTCCCTGCCTCGGTGATTTCTGATCAGCGCCTACCACTGTCTGACCTACTATATAAACTACTTTTTACCCTCTTTGTCTACCTCCCCCGGAGGTAAGCTGTGGGGGCAGGGAGTTTCATCTGTGTCGGTACCCAGAGCCCTCGCTGCCGACTGCGCTGGTGACTTCCACACACGGGCAGTGCCCCTCCCACTGAAAGGAGGTGTCACGGCCAGGGAAGGGGTCTCCTGTGTCTCGAGGCCTGTTCCACGTCAGGAACTTTGCACTCGCTGTGATTTCTAATTCTCCACCAAGTCTCATGACTGGCCATTTTCAAGTCCCTATGGATGAGGAAAGCGTCCGTATCCTCACTTCACAAGGCAGGAAACGAAGATTCTAGCATGCCAGATGCCCAGCTCTGTGTCCTGGACGACGCCAAGGGGGTCAGCGCGGGTCAGCCCCGACACAGGCCCGCTCGCCCTGCTGACGGTCAACTCTGTTCATCAAAACCACCTCTAGAGGTTTGGGGGTGGGTTTGTTCGTGGGCTTTTAAGAGAGAAGCTTGGGTCCTGTGGCCTGAGACTTCTGCATCAGGAGCTCTGGTGCATGGCTGCACCCCACGACAGACCCCCGGGATCCCCACGACGCAGACACGGGAGACGAGGACCAGGGATACCTGTTGAGTCTGGCTTCCAGCTGGCTGCTGAGATACTCGGAAGGGAAGATGGTGTGCTCGAATACAGAGAAGCTGTGCACATGATTCATTGTCAGTGCTAATTCTGTCAGGTGTATGTGCAGCTTGTCCATGCTGGGGAAAAAGGAGAAATTAAATGAGCCTGAGTTGTGGCCTGGCACCGCCTGTGGTACCCCTAGGGTCGCTGGGCACCCAGGCGCTGACCCCAGGGCAAAGGGGGAAATTCACAGGAAGCAAGAGCGCCCCCTCGTGGCGCAAGGGGTAAAGCACAGCACTATGAAGCCGTCACCGGTCACAGCCTCTGCAGCCCAAGTTGCATCCCCACCCTGGAGTGACCCCAGGGTGCAGCAGACCTCTCCTGTCTCCCCGCTGCTCCCCTCCGCGTGTGTTTCAGTGGATCTGCCTGCTCTGCTCCCCACTCTGTCTCTGGGAAATCCTCCCACACCCCAACACACACACATCTCTGACCTGCACCCAGCTCCTGCGTGCATAAATAAATACCTCTTTACAAAACTTCACAGGAAGCGTCTTCCCGCGACCATCCCCCCCTCCACTGCCTGCTGTCACCCAACCCCTCTCGGCCTCCGGCCTCCGGCCCAGGTCCTCACTTGGTGACAATGCTGCGGTTCTTGCGGTGACTCTCGGCTCCTGGCTTGTCCTTCTCGGGCTCGCCTTTCCTGGGTGTCTGCCTCTGCTTCACGGTCTTCTTGTTCTTGGCCTTGCTGATGGTGGTGGCGCAGTGCTTGGGTAAAAGCTTTAGAAATGAACACGAGTGAGTGGGGAAGTGAGATTGATTCCTCGGCTTTTATATTTCTGCCTTTCCCGCTGGCTCTTCCCATCCACCTCTTTCTGCAGCGGGGCCTATTTGGAATATTCTCGCCTCGAAGTTGTCATTACGAATCTCCCCATGATTAGACTCCAAGGCTCGCGATGGCCGTCTTTCAGGAATCCGACACCCATGCCCAGCCACATGCCCTGTAGAACTATTCAGGCAAAAGAAAAACTCCTGAGAGCTCCCCTGACTGCACTTCCTCGGCTCACCCAGCCTGGGAAGACGGTTGTTTCTGTGGTCTAGACCCACCACCGCCCTTGCGCCATTTCGTCATGTTCTGGAGGACAGTCACAGCCACCACCACAGCCCTCGGAGCTCAGGGTGGCCTGAACGCTCTCCCTTCTTTTAAATGAGCCATCCTAGTTCTTCTTTATTTTTAACATCTTTTTTTAAAGATTTTTATTTATTTGTGCATACAGAAATGGGGTACAGACCAGAGGTGCCAGTTAAAGGACTCGCCAGAGACAGAGCGGGGAGCAGCACAGACAGATGCACTGAAACCCTCAGCTGAGGGGGTCAGCGGGGAGACAGGCGAGGCCTGCTGTGCTCTGTGGGTCACTCCCCGGGCAAGGATCTAGCTCGCACTGAGGCGGCCACAGCTCAGCTTAGCTTCGCAGGGCAGCACCAGCCCGCTGCGCCACCAGGGAGGGCCCACGCCATCCTATTTCTCGCGAGTTACTTTAAATGTCAACCCTGCACCTCTTCTCTTCACCAACTTCCCCGCTTGTCATACAGAAAACGAGAGCCAGAGTTACACGCTGGGGCTTCTCTTCCAGGCCATCACCTTGAGCTGTGCTCACTCCCCTGCCTCCAGCAAACACCGCCCCGGGAAGATTCTCTGAGCACTGTAGAGCCAGGAGGAAACGGGCGGGCGCTCTTAAAGCCACACTTCGGTTTTGTTTCTTTTTAACAGTTTATTTTTACATCATTTTGTACTTTTTTTTTTTTCATCTCAATTGTAATCCCCGTGGGTTTCCCATCACTGAGTCACCCGCCACACTTCGGTTTTTTTTAAGTTCAAACTTCCGCTACTGCAAAACTTAAGTCCACCTTGACCGACAGAGGTGGGGGGACCCTGAAATCACCCCAAAGTGTGAATCCAAAGGTAGCTGCAAAAACTGCAACTCTCTTAGTAATGGCAGCATCGTTCATTATTTATTCAAAATGAAAACTTTGGAGGAAGCAACACTCAGGGCTGCAAAGTCCTGGCTGCCTGCAGACATTACTCCCCCCCCGCCCCCCCCGCGAGGCAGCCCAGGCCCAGCGCTGCCAAGTCTTTGCCCAGCACGAGGGAGGAGCCAAGCGAAGCGTGGGAGGGGCCGAGCCTGCTCCGAGGAACCCCGAGTTCTACTCGCCCGCACATCTTCCTTGCATTCATTATTTAGAATTTTTTGCAAAACTGTACTTGAGCTCCTTTTTCTTTTAAACTGGGCCATCCCCCGAGGGCCAGTACTGTGTATGTCCTCCTGGGCCAGATCCCAAAATACCCAGTTTAGGGCCTGGTGCCTACTAAGTAGCCAATTCAACAACCGCTAACTAGCATCTACTGAGAGTCGCAAACCACCTGTTTGGCGTACTTTCTCGCTTCATCTTTATGATACCTCCAAAAAGAAACCACTCTTATCCTCCCTTTACATCTGAGCATATGGAGAAGTTAAGGGTTAACGAAACTGAATTTGAACACACACACGCCAACCCCTGGCGACCAACGCTGACGAAACCCGACTCAAACCCGGGCAGAGTGGGCCGTCTGGGCACCCTAAAAGACTGCAGGGCAGAGCAGATCAATTTCCTCACTTTCAGCTTTTCTGAGATGTCGAGTGAACAAATCACCACCAGATGCAGTGAGTCAGGCGAGGGAGAGGAAAACAAGCAGACAAGAACGAGAAAGGAGCCCCGAGGACACACACAGAGGAGGAGCCCGAACAGGCCGGCCGGGCCAGCCGCAGATGGACAGACCGAGACAAGGAGGCCCCCGGAGGCGGGGGAACTGCCCTACGTGTGCGCCACAGAGCAGAAGGGGACGAAGGTTAGACAATGAGCTCACCTCTCGGAATCCTTCAAATGAGAGACAGACGCAGCCATTCAAACAAGAACGTTTTTGGCCACCTGTATCTACTCCCAAAGTAAAGGTGGAACGCACCACACTGAGGGGAACAGCTAACCACAGGCCTCTCTGGTGGGGCGACCGGATACAGCGCAGCCCTGCGAAGCTTCGCAGCCACTGCAGCAGCACGAGTTCGATCCCCCGCCAGGGAGGGACCCACGTGGCGCGGCAGACCTCTCCTGTCTCCCCGCTGCTGCCCTCAGCGGTGGGTTTCAGCCGACCTGCCTGTTCCGCTCCCCACTCTGTCTCCGGGGGATCCTCTCACCACCCCAATGCCTCTGGCCTGTACCCCAGTTCTTGTGTGAATAAATAAATCTTTAAACAAACAACCAAAAAAGGCCTACCATAGACTCAGGTAAATCAAGCCTACCTGCTTGAGAGAAAGAATTCGGAAACATCTGAAGGAAGACAAAGGAAGGGAGCGGGAAAGGCAGCAGAGAGATGAGGGGAGACCCGTCTCCCCACCTGCTCGCTCAGGTTGCGCTGCTCCGCGCAGATCTCCAGGATGCAGTTGCTGGTCTGCTTGGCCAGCTCCTCCAGGAAGGAATTGCAGTGGTGAAGGCCATGGTTCTTCAGGTGGGGGTACTTGAGGAAAAGGGGCGGCGGGAGACCGTGTCATCAGCAGGCAGCCCCGCCGTCCCGATGACGCTCCCGGGCGCCCGGGCCGGAGCTGCTCGTTCCTGCCTCAGAGAGGAGCCGCCACCCAGGCGCAGAGGGAGCCACAGGGACCCAGGCACATACTGGTGACGCGCCCTGCCTGACATCGTGACACGTGCCTGGCGTCGTGATATCGGGGAATCAGGACGAGACGTGACTAGAGGTGACAAGCCCCGGGGTTCAGGGCACCCACCTCCTCTGGGCACATCTCGTGAGTGCAGTGGGCAAAGTGAGCACAAATCCGGGGGAAGGCGATGGCATAGCGTAGCATGGTGGGCTCCTCCAGCGTGGCGGCAAACATCTTCTCAAAGGTCCGGAGGTGGAAGCTGCAGGGAGGGGAGGGAGAGACCCAAAAGCAGGGCCGGGAGCTGTTCCCTCTGAGAAGGGAAGAACACCCTGCTTGCAGCAGCCTTTACTGAGAGGCGCCTCTCCCGCCTTCGTGTTCCTGCTCCTGAGACAGGAGCCCAAGGAACTTGCCCTTGCACCCACTCACGGGCTGGACTCCAGGACAGTTAAGCGATGCTCTTCTTCCCTTGCACAGAATTTGCTATCCCTCTCTCCGTGACCCGGACAGGCCCCCTCGTTCAGAAACCCCTCAGGACACCCACCTGCCATGCTAACCCCTCCTACTGACATGATCCTGTCGAGAAAATTCTATAATGTGAACCCAAAGAAACATTAACATTGCACAATCCACTTAAGACAGTGTCACTTGAAAATTTCAGCACGTAACTAAGCTTATGTAAAACTGTGATGTAGCCAATAAAATGAAACTACGGAGAGATTTTCATTTTGTTGATATTAAAAAATGAAATTAAAAATAGGTAACTTAAATTGGAAAAGGTTATTTCAATGCTGTGTAGAGTTTGATCGTGGAATGGATGGAAAAAACCAATTTCATACTAATTCATACTAACTCACTACGATTGACATCATCATTACGTTTTCTACAATTTCTGGTTTTGATTTAATTAAAGTTTTCTTTTTAATATTCTTTTTATGGTCCACAGGTACAGGTTAGCACAGTATTTTTACACAGCTCAGTAATAACCACTATTATGAAAAGATACCTAAGGACTAAACCAAACATCTCTACACTTGACTAAAGATAAAAACAAAATGTGTAACAATTCCAGTTCCTTCATGCATGCTCCTGTAATAAAGCCTTAACCCAGTTCAAAAAAAGTAAAGTTAAAAAAGTTTAAAAACCACAAAGCTACGCAACCAAAGGCCCAACTGCCCAAATGGACAGTAGCTGGCCACGCTCTCATGGGTCAGTAGACAGCAAGCGCATGCTGAATATTAACTCATAAAGTGCTTTGTATTTTAATAAGGAGGGCTCTTGGTAAAGTGACTGGATGGTGTCGTGGACAAATCATAAAGCGGAGATTTACTGCACTAATTTACATCCCTCTCAAATTCCGATACTCAGGTTCCAGAAAAACTCTCAGATTAATTTCATGAGGCTGCTTTTTCGAGACCCTAACCCTCTCAACTACATGCGCTCCCGGTACACTGCTTATATCTGCAGCTACGATGCTGACGTCCTTGTGACACGTGCATGTTAAATCTGCCCGTCACTGACGACGGAGAGCCGAGATAACATATGTATTGCCGTCTGAGCCCTCAGGTGGCAGAGTTATGCGCAAAGCTGGTCAGCATTAGTATATGTGAATGATACCTAAAGAAGAAAAACTAATTTTCGTCTTCAGAGACCATGTTCTCCAGCTCTCTCATCTAGTTTCAGTTCTCTCCCCTAAACCCTCCAAGTTCCCCAGGTCTCTTTTTAAGTCCAATATACCGAGAACAAGTAAAACTAAAGACAACAGAGAGGGGGAAATGTGCTGCTGTATTGACGTGTGATCCCAGAGCAGGGAAGGCTGTATCCTAAGGAAAGCCAGAACCCAAGGGAGTCAAGTTCAGGTTCCTTTCACTTGGTAGCAGCTGAAATGGAGAAATCACCAAAAAAAGAATTTTCCTCTGTCCTGGGGAATTGCACCAGAACTGTGTAGAGAAACAGTGAGGGGCAGCCTCCAAGTCCGTAGGTGGCTGTCAGAGCCAAACCGATGAGGGAAAGTAGAGCTGACCCAACTGGATGGTAAGGGTGGGGCTTCTCAAACCCCACCCCCTGAGCAGGGGCTGATGGGAACCAGGGGCGGGGCTGATGGGAACCAGGGGCGGGGCTGATGGGAACCAGGGGCGGGGCAGAGGCTTCTGGCAGTTCAAGGCTACGGCTCTTGACAGTTTAACTGCTCAGGCCGTGGGGGAGGTAAACTGCTGGGACTTTTGACCAGTTAAGCTGCTGGGCTCTGGAGTTACACTGCGGGGGGAGGTCACCAGCTTGCTCCGTATGGCTTTGGCTTGGACTTCAGCCCCTGCTCAGGGGATGCTGTCAACGGCGGCACAGAGCAAATGGCCAGGTGCAGCCTGTAAATCCTGCCCTGCCCATTTCTCCCTCCTGTGTAAATAAATCCTTGATGGCTTCACTGTGTGCCAGCTTTGGGTCCTGTCTTGCAGTCACAAGCACAAGGGTAAGGACTCACCAGCCAGGTCGCTGCCCCCCCCCCCCCCCCCCGCCCCGGATTGCTTGGGTTCAGCCTGGCAAGAGGTCAAATGACTTTAAAGAGAGTTCTGAACGCGGACATACCAGAAAGTAGACAGGTCTGAAGTCTCCACCAACACTTTCTCTACTGAGTCCAGCATTTGGGAGTGAAAGATGATGAGGTTCATCACCTTGGCTAAGTCGGGGTTCTCGTGCAGGTGCAGGGGTGCCTTAGCCACACTGGTATATGCCTATGGTTGGGGTTGCAAAAAGGTAGAGAAAAACAGGATCAACAAAAAGGCCCAGTGTTGGGGCTACAGGTAGGCTGGGGCTTATCCAATATTGGTTTTCAATGTTGAATTGCTCCCTAGAGCAGTGAGATGGGAATGCAGGAGAGGGGAGAGCCTGAGAACGGGGTTTATTCACAGGAAAAGACCTACCTGCAAGCGGAACCAGTCCAGCCTCAGGCCAGAGAAGTCAAATTTCTCTTCATTATCAACTATAAGAAAAGCAAGTGGTTACGAGGGCAAAATAAAGAGCACCCACATCCAACTGCACAGAATGATACTCTTCACGGTCATCCTGCCCCATTCCTGACGTCAAGAGGTCAGTACTTCCAGAAGAAGCAAAAGTTGACCCCCCATACACCCTGCCTCTCCCACTTCCCTCCAGTTACCTTGTTTGAGATTCAGAGAGGAGAGAGTACTGACAAATGAGGACATGATGATGGACTCCTCCTCGGGGCATACAGAGAGGTTCTAAAAGAGAAGTGAGAGTCACCCTCAAGGCACATGTGCCACCAGGCCAGAAGCGAGGGCCTCCAGGCTCAAGGCCGTGACCGTGAGGAGCTGAGTGTCCCGAACAGCAAGAACCCAGCAAGAAAAGGGGCCGATTTCCTGGGTTCCCTGCCACACTAGCACCCAACTTCTCTTTATATTTCTCTCCTGTTTCTAGGTAGTTTTACGTATTAAAAAAGAAAGTGGTTGCTGAGGTTACTTGTCTGTTTTAACCAGTGTGGCGGGGGAAAACAGGCATTTTGACATAAAGTAAAGAGAGCATGAGATCTGGAGTGGGTCTGTGAGGGGAATCACCAGGAATCAGGCTAAAATTGCCAAAGTATAATCAATTAAACATACTTGAATGGCATCGCTGAGCACAAGAGCATCAAATCTGGCCAGGTACTGGAGGTGGTACTGCTGTATCACCTTGCTGTGTCTCCGGACCAGAGTCCTAATCTCCTCCAGTAAGAACAGCAGTTCTGCAATGCTCCTACAAGCCAGGAACAGGAACAGAGAGCGGTATGAGACACCAAATATGAACTGAGACGCAGACAGTGGCAACAGAACGGTGAGTGAGGCTCTGAGGCCATGTGATGGCGCCTGTCCCTGTCCCAACCCCCCGAAGGCCAAGGTTCTCAGCCACGGCCAGTACTAACGAGTCGGCATAGTCCTCTGGCGTCTTTGTCTTGGTGACATTCTCTGTGTGACGAACCAGCCAGGTGACCTCATCACGAATGAAAGACATGGCCATGAAAGCCAAGAGGGCCTGGGGGAAGGAACAAATGATGAGAATTTTCAAGGTTAAAGGTGGATGTCAAAGCACAGAGAAAACGAGCATGAAAACATCCATGTGGATACAATCTTTCGCCACCTGGACAAGAGTGTCCAATAAAAAACGCAGAGATCCACGAAAAATCTATGTGGCACATAATCAGACAAGTACATTGCATTGACATAAGCTCATAGTCAACACCCTTCCCTCCCTATCAAATTAAATTTCAGAAAGACTCACTAGGCGTTTGTAGGGTTAAAAAGCAAAGCAAGGCCCTCCCTGGTGGTGCAAAGGGTTAGCTTCATGCAAGTTCCATCCCTGCCCCGGGGGTGACCCACAGGGCATGGCAGACCTCTCCTGACCAGCCCGCTGTTCCCCTCCCCTCAGCAGTGGATTTCGTCAAACTGCCTGCTCTGAAACCCACTCTGTCTCTAGTGACGCCTCTCACCACCCCTGCACCTCTGGCTTGTACCCCAATTCTGTATGTATAAGTAAATAAATGTAACCAAAAGTCAGATAGTTTACATTTAAAGAAAAAAAAAAGCAAGCAAACTCTGCCTTAATTAGTTGCTACTCAAACAGAGGGTAAGAAAGTATACAAGCGGCTAAAATGCATTATATACTATGACAATGCTTAAAAAAAAAGAGATACAAAGCTTTGGGGTATCCCAGTAAGAGTCAAAGAAATCGCAAATATACATAATTATACAACTAGATCACCAAAGACCCAGAATTGCAAAAACTCATGTCTACCATATCGTTCCCCAAAGAATCTTTCCCCACTGGGCACCATCCCCCTCCCAACACGGCTTTCCCTGCCTTGGGACCCAGCAGTCCTGGCTCATCCGCTAACACGGTCTCCAGCTCCTTCACGGCCATCCGCAGAAACTGCCGCCGCTGGCAATGAAACTGGCCGCTGAGAAAGAAAACCAGAGAATATCCACTGTCACTCCCCTGCCAGCCTGCATGAGAAAAGGCTGTCAGACAGGAGAAGGCCCAATGTTAATCAGACTTGCTAGGAAAACGCAAGATTGTGAAGCGAACGTGTGGTTAGGTTGGGGGTTCTTGAGGCAATAATACAGCGCAGGAACTAGGGGTGTCTCAGGTGAGAACAGAAGTCGGGAGGGTTCCTGGCCCTTCCCTCCTGTCGAGCCTGTTTCCCACCTTACCTGTTGGCAATAACATATTCCTTGCTTTCCTTGATGTCCGCCACGCGTTTTCCATACCTGTGGAGGTACAAGTACCTGGCTATATGTGTCATGAACATCAAATTAGATCACTTATGTCCAAGGACTCCCTAAACTGTGAGCCATATGTGTTAGAGTTCTAAGGGGCGGGGAAGGAGTAGCCCTCACCCATCCCTCCCACACCAACAAGAGTTAGTTAGTAGAAAGTTTTCCAAATCCATATGTTAGTTAGAGCGAGAAGCAGGTAGATAGGTAGGACAGACAGATAATCAGCCCTACATCCTGTAACTTCTAATTATTGTTACATTTTTTCTCTCTTAGCTCTGAGAGTGATTTTCTATGATACTACCCAGATGTGGAGACTATGAGGATTAAGTAGTCTCAGAGAATGTCAATAATACATGTTTGGAGGCAAACTGGTAAGAAATATTGAAATTTAAAATAAGCAAAAACCTTCATCTCCAGCAGTTGTACTTCAGTGACTGTACCCTACTGAATTCCTCACATGGCTTCACAAAGATATGTCCAAGGACATTCCTTACAGCATTGTTTGTAACGATATTTTTTAAGTGAAAACAATTCAAATATCTATGGCATAAGGAAATACCATTCAACTGCTAAAAGGAATGTAAGTCTCTGTAGAATGCAAAAGTATCCAAAATATAGAAGTAGAAAAAAACTGCAAACGTATCGGAGATTGTGGATCCACTGTTTTTCAAAAACTGCTCATATGAAGTGGAAAATACATGTACGCTTTACACATACACACACACATGCAGGACATAAATTATCTTGGGAAGTGAGAGTCTGGTCGCTTTCACTTTGTATTTTTTACATTTTTGAAGGTTAGTTTTGCGATGATAAAAAGCGTTTGAGCCCTTCCTCAATCCCATACAACTCATTCTCTATTCTTCCCCTCTTGGTCAACTTCTTGAAAGAGATACTTAGATACTTATTCAATTCCTCATCCCACTTGCTCTTAAACCACTGCAGCCGAGCTGGAGACCTCACCGCTGAAGTATCCACAGAAGGGTGCTAGACCATGTTCATAGCCAAATCCAGTGAACACTTGGCAGGCCTCATTTTATTTGACCTTTCCACAGCATCTAACAGAGATAACCAGAACTTCCTTCTTGGAATGTGTTCTTCCCTTGACTTCTGTTTTCTCTCTTCTTCTCAACTCCCTTCCCTGATGGCCTTCAAATATCAACACTGCCAGAGTGTCTGCCCCGGCCTCATCTCACGCTCCACGTTCTCCTTGAGGAATATCACCCACTTCTACAGACTCTGCTTACCATTTTACCAATCTTTCTCTGAATCCAGTTGCAGAAACATAAAATAAGAGACAAGTCCAGTTCGATCTGTTCAAACTGAATTCACAATCACACACACACTTTCTTTTCTTCATAGCTCTCTATTTTAAGGATACTATAAACTTTGACTTCATTCTCAATTCTTGCTAATTTACTTAATCTCTGCCTCTAGTTCTATATATATCCACAGAGTATCTTCTTCCTTGAAGCCAGACTGTTCCTTTCTAAATTGCAAATCTGATTGTGTTACTCAGTTTGCAATCACTCGGGTTCAAACACCATGACACGAAACACAAGACCCCAACCTGTGTCTCCAAATCTGTTTCTTGATGCCGCCGCCTCCCTTTGTAAAGCAGCTATCGATGCACACTGAGTTGCGCGATTTCATTCCTCATAACAGCCCTTTGATGTAGGTAGGTCACAGAGAAGTGCTATTATCATCCCCATCTAATAGAAGAGGAAACTGAGGCATGGCTTGGGGAAGCTCAGTAACTTGCCCAAAACTCACCCAGCCAGTAAGTAGAGGACTGAAACCCAAACCCAGGCTGTCAGGTTTCAGAGCCCACGCTCTTACCCTCTAGGCTGTTTTATTAATCAGTGTACCTCTAAAACCCAGGGGCGTGCTAGTAAATAGCAGGAATTCAATAAGTACTTCTTCAGTGACAGAACTAACCCTCACCCCCATGCATGCACTCAGGGCGGCGGGAGTGATGGAGGGACTAACACTCGTGGGAGGAGACGCACTCAGGGCGGCGGGAGTGATGGAGGGACTAAGCGCGGGAGGAGACGAGCTTGGTTCTCCCGTCTCTCACCCTTTGCAACTGCTGAACAGCTCCTCGGTGACCTTGTGCACCTGGAGCGCGTCCTCCCGGATGAGCGTGATGTACAAGGAGCCCTGCAGGCACAGCTTCCACAGCTTCTGGCACTGGGTGTTGGTGTTGAGGCACCCATGGCAAAGGAGAAACCCAACTGCAGGAGGTGAAACAGTGCGGGAGCTTCTCAGAACGTGCCCATGTGACGCGTCTCCACGCCCCCACTGCCTCCCACGGCACTTACTGGTAATCCAGCGCTCCATCACCTCCACAGAGAGGTACTCACAGGCCACCTGTGGGAAGACAGAGGGCCCAGTGCTAGTTTGGTTTGCTCTTCCCCTGAAGACTAGCTCACTCCAGACAGAGGTGGTCAAGTTAGGGGTCTTCTTGGTGGTGCTGGGGTTAAGTTTTGGCACAGTCAAGCTGAGACTATCACCAGCACAAGTTCGATCCCTGGCCAGGAGCTGACCCACGTGGCACATCGGACCTCTCCTGTCTCCCTCTGCTCCCCTCAGCAGTGGATCTGCCTGTTCTGCTCCCCACTCTGTCTCTGGTAAATCCCCTCACCCCCACACCTCTGGCCTGCACCCCAGTTCTTGTGTGCATCAAAAAATAAAAATGAAAATAAATCTTAAAAAAATAAAAACAAAGATAATCAAATTTGAATGTCAAAGCCAACTGTCTTTTACCAGACCGGACAAGGCTAAAACTAAGAAACCTGCTAATAATGGGGATGAGGGGAAAAGTACAGCTGAAAGTCAGAATAAACAGAGGTTTAACATAACTGCTCTCCAACAGTTCAGATACTTTTAAAAACAGGAGATCAAGATTTAAAACCTCTTCATGATTTCTCCCTTCCTGTGGATTCTTTTACCACTGAAAGACTACGTCACTTACTTGGCACGTCTCACTCACCCTGTACCATCAGCTGTACTTTTTAAAAAGATTTATTTTATTAATTTATGCATATATCAGCTAGGGTATAGGCCAGAGGTGTGGGGGCTGGGGAGAAAGGACCCCAGAGACAGAGTGGGGAGCAGAACTGATCGACTGAAATCCACTGCGGGGAGCAGCGGGGAGACAGGAGAGGGCTGCTGCGCCCTGGGGGTCCCCCCCTGGCTGGGGCTGGAACTCACACTGGCCATGGCTTGGTAGTGCTGAGACTTAACCCCCGCAGCCCCAGGAAGGCCCATCAGTTGTATCTTGATGAATACACGGTCCATCGCCCCTACGCATCAAGGCTGCTGGGCCCGTGTGTAGTTAAATAAGAACAGTTGTTGACTAACTGATGCTGCACCCAAGATCCTGTTGAGCTGAACAGGTGCTGCTGACTCAGTTCCAACCACTTGTTCATTCTATGAATACTCACTAAATCCTTTCTAGGGCAGGCACCTACTAACTCTGACCCGTAGGCACTACTAACTCAGAAGCTGTCACCTAACCATAATTTTCTGTTTACAAGAAATGATGGGTTTTGAGGTGTGTCTTCAAAGCGGGCTGAAGTGCTTCCTGAAGAAGCACCGCTTCAGAGATGGCCTTGGCGGGTGGAACGCCTCCTCTGAGGAGAAAGAAGGAACTCACCGTGTCGGAATTAGCAGGGTTAATCATGGCTGCTGGGCTGCTGATGAGGCTGAGAAGCTGGGCATTGCGCCACTGCTCAGCCCCCTGGTTCCTTCGGACAAAGAGGAAGTAGAGAGAGAGGAGGGCACCACTCACAGCCTGTGGGGAGAACAAACGAATGCTTTGAGTGGCTGAAGGACCACATACTTCTGCCTGAGGAGCTCTGCACTCAGTCAGGATACTTGCCTTTGTGTGAGGCCCAAACTCCTCTGTCAGTTTCTTCAGAGGCTGGTCATACTCCAAGACCATCTGACCGAGACGGGCAAAGCTGGAGTCACTAGCAGAGAGCACAGGGAAGAGCAGTTGCAGGCCTCTGGCGGCCATGATGTCTGCACGCAGAGTTCAGACAGGCTAGCGTCTCCCACTTCCAGAGAGACACATGCCCCACTGAATCACCTCTGCAGATAAGCCACGCCAGGCCCCGGAGACTAAACTACGGTTAGACAGAACCACGCAATTGGGGCAGGTCCTTTTCTAATAACCTGAAAAGCCAAGTGGAAGCCAGTCCAGGATTAAAAAAAGCAACTGTAATAAAATAAAAATGAAAATCAACAACCAACTATAAACCAGAGACATTCTACAGAGGTGGAGAGGGGAACAGGGTCAAAGCTGGGGCGGGAAGAGCACATGGGACTGTGGTGATGGCGCACGGGTGAAGCGGTGATGGGAAGTCCGTGGGGATTACAACCGAGTTGAAAAAGGATATTTTACATATGTATGTGTGTCTATATATGTGTATAAAATATTTTAATTAAAAAAATTACTCAGAAACAACACAGACGGGATAAGCCGCCAGCAGATATTTGAGTTCACCCTGCAGAGGCCCTGGCTGGTGTGTGCCCTTGTAAACAGTGTCCGGGGTTTTACTTTGCCTGGGTCATCATGTAGGTCGTTCTTCTCACACGAGAAAGCGTGGACTCTACTTCCTTTATGTCCACCCCAACCTGCAGCACCACGTGTAGCCTCTTCACCTCCGGACGCCCTGGGACTCACCTGTGCCCGTGCATCATCTCGTGAGCACAGTTGTACGTGCCGATGAGCACTTTCCGATCCTCAATCCGTGACAGAAGTAAAATAACTGAGGTGTAAGTCACAATCAAGTCCAGGTAACCCCGAGTGAAGTCGAAGTTAAGATTCTACAGGGAAAATACACAGGAACTCAAGAAGGGTAAAGCCAACTGCCCATTTTCCCAACCACTGCAGAGAACGCCAGAGAGACCCGGAGGGCCCGAGGGTCGGGTTAGTGGGAGGAACTGAGAGTCGCAAATTCCAAAGGAGAACACTGGAACAAAAGCCAGGGCTGAAAGTGGGCTCAGGATACAGGGCCAGGAAATAGGGTAGCTTTTAGGAGTTGGAGAAAGTAAAATAAGGTTCTTGGGCAATTTTTACATTCAATAAATCGCACTGCCAATCATTATAACAGATGGATACACTTTAACCTCAGCAACTTTTTACAAGAGAATTAGAGTCCTGAGATGAAAGAGTCACTACTCCAGCCCCACCCCACCACACACTGTCCCAACCAAGACCTGGTCTTTTTTGTGGCTCGAGGATAGAAAGAGTTGCAAGGAGTCTTACAATATCAAAATGGCACTGGCAGGCATCAATGGTGTTGAGAAGTTCATATACATGATCCTGGGGGAGAAGTGGAGATGAGAATGAGCGACGAGAAGATGGCATCTTCCTATCCAAATTTGAGGGGACGGGTTCTCTCCCTCTTGTCCCAGAGAGTCTCTGGTAAGTGAGGCAGGCACTGCTGAGCACAGACCTCCCTCCTCTCCCTCAGAGGCCCAGATGCCTATGTTTCTACCAGCACGAGACATTGTTATGTTACACGCGCTTTCATAGCTTGTCACCTGGGTGGCACCCTTTACCAATTAGAAAGGCCACAAAATGCAGATCACCTGGTAGGCCATACCACGTAGTCTTTTTCATAGTGGTGAGTATTTGCTTTGTTTCCAATTCCTGGACTATTGGCACTTTTATTTCTACAAAAGTAGAACTGCTTGATCAAAGAGTGTGTTTAATGCATTACCATAAGCTAACTTCCAATAAAAATATATACAAATGGCCAATAAGCACGCAAAAAGATGTTCAATCATATTAGTCATCAGGGAACTATAAACTAAAACCACAATAAGTTACCATCTTATACCTACTAGTGTGGCTAAAATTTGATTCAGCTAATAGCAAGTGCCAGTAAAATGTGAAGTGAGAAAAATGGAAGAATGACTTTGGAAAAAAGTTTGGACATTTATCATGACTTGAAACATACAAATACCATAAATTGAGCGATTCAGCTTCTAGATTATTTACCCACGTAAAATGAAAACAGCCTCCACAGTGATTTGTACACAAATGTTTACAGCAACCTATACATCATGGCCAAAAGCTGGACACAATCAAAAGTATACACATTTGTCAAGCCGATTAAAATGTATGGGGAAAAGATGTTTCCAAGTTATCACCCCCAAAAGGTTAAACTAACTAAAAAATCTAAATTAACATATCGGGAAACTGAGGCTCAGAGCAGTTAAACTTGCCCAAATCACAAAGCTAGTAAGGGACAGAACCAGACTAGGAGCCCAGAGCCCATGACCTTCCTCTGTGCTGCAAGACCCTACACCTTATCTCGGCCTCGGCGTCCTCGTGTGCCAGGAAGACCTGCTAATTTCTGCAACTCAGGTCCTATGGAATCTAATAGAGGTTCGCTTTCGGTCACTTACATAATCAATGTCCCTGGACAGGACTTCTAAAAACAAGAATGAACGGAATTAACATGTGTTGGTCTATTACTTTACTAGTTGTTAAATACTGAGTTTGGTATTTTCTATGTGTTATCTCATTTAACTCTCACAAAACCCCATATAGTCATTTTTATTTGCCCATTCATAGATCAAAAAAAAAAACTGGGAGTGAAAGAATTTCCAGTAAGTCATACACTGTTTAAGTGGTAAACTGAAATTCGAGGCACCTGGAAATACGCAGAAGGCTGGAAACATCTCGTTCAAACACGAAGGAGACATGACAACTAAATTCAATGTATGATCCTTGAGAGAACTAGAGAATAATGTGAATGGCCTATACATTAACTAATAATATTGGAGCAAGTTACATTTTCTGAGCACCATAATTATGTTAGGGTTATGTAAGAGTGTATTTTTGGTTTTAGCAGATGTATGCTAGAAGTACTTCAGGAGGGAAATGTGGCCTCAACTAACTCAAATGGTTTAGGAAAAAAAAGAGAAAGAGAAGTAAACATGGAAAAATACAACAATAAGGAAATCCAGGAAAAGAGTAGAACAATATTCATTACACTTCTTTTGGAATTTTTCAGTAAAATTGTAATAAGATACTA